CCAAGGGAAAACCAAGAGTTGTTGTCGGGACGACACTGGCCAGAGTTGGGGTGAGTCGTGTTGCCCTGTAACCTAGCAGGGTGGGGGTGTGACGCCCAAACCTCACATCCATCGCGACTTCCTGATCGGAGTGGGATGGGGGCCCAGAAGTGCGAAAATGGGGTGTGCCAAGGATTTTAGGAAAGTGGGGATGGAGGCCCAGGTCCCATGGCAAGTTTCAAGGGTATAGGCGCAAGAGGGTATGCAGAGAAAGGAAGTTGCTGATGTCGTGCAGCATAAGGCAGATGGCATGCGCAGTGCATCTCAGGCTAAAGATCCGGGGCACTTTTCCACGATCACATTATCGACAGATCTAAACACTCGTGCATTCTTGAGAAAAATCCCAACAACATTGCCTCTGCCAACGAACTCAATTTTCAAGCTTAAAACAAATGGAGCCCATCATCTCCTCTGGCTTCGCCTTCGTGAATGGTCGCGCGGTTCAACCAATTGTCGGCGCCCCTCGGCTTCAGTGCGGGTTCGCCAAGCGAATGCGGAGGCTTTATAGGCCTGGTACCGCCAACATTTTTCGCATGGTATGCGGGGCCGATAGCGGGCTATGGAATTCCACGGCACCACCGTGAGTTGGTGGTATGGAAGGAGGAGGTGGAAGGGAGGGGAACTGGTAGTAATAACGACAAAACCAGGGGATATGAAATACTGCGTGTTATAAGTATCCGGGTAATCAGGGCCCCTAGGATGGTTAGTTATGGCACATTGAAAGTTCCTCACACACAATCGATCGCTTTCCACCAGACAGGGGAATTCCGAATTTCTTAAGTCCCCCGCCATCTGAATTGTTCACCTTCCCAGTATTCGCGGTATTTCGGGTCCCTCAGACTCTCACGATCGAACATCCAAAAGGGAAATTCCGCAGATATATCCGTTTAGAAAGCTCGGTCCCCTGCATCCTCGTGCAGAGTTCCAGGCTGACTCACGCAGGCAAGCACATACGTAACGACTCAGTTTTCTCGAGGTTGAAGTCGTACGCGATCGTGCACGTGAGAAACAGCGGGTTGGTTCAGCGGGTCGATCGCATTCGACATGCATGCAGATATCCAATCCCTGCGGCGTCGGGTGAGATCCGATCATTACATATCATCCATGTGACAAAAAGGAGGAAAGAAGAGAAAGGGCCATCAACTTCTTATAACACTCTTGTTAAACCAAAACATCCATAATCGAGCGCCTCCAATCATATCTGAGTGTATAGCTCACGCAAGTGAGCGGTACACAGAGTCGAAACGGACGTCGCAAAACAAGATTAAAAATCCGAAAAGATCGCTAATAAAGGGGACTCACATTCATTCCATGCATACATAGAAAATACAAACGAAAAAAAAACACTTTAGGGAATTGTCACGTCCTTCTCGCAATTCGACGAGATGATCCGCGCGAATGCAGGAACGCGCTGGATCTCGAGGATAGAGCTGAAGCGGGATATAATCTTCCCCCCTTCCCCCCTCTCCCCATGCCCTGCCCCCTTTTTTTTCCCCCTTTCTTTTTTCTATATAGAACCACATGAACGATTGGCAGAAGAGGAACGAGATGGACAATGTATTTTTGTTCTTGTTACAGTAGAGGCTATTCGGCGTTATCTCTGATTGCATGCATGAACTAGCTCTTCCTCCTTTCATATGGTGTCTGGATACACCCCTATCTCTCTTCACCTTTTGGTTCAATGGAAACTTCGCCTGCCTTTTTTTCCCTTCTCTCCTTCTCTCGTTCCTCCTTCCCTTTCTTCCGTACCTTTACCTCTTTCTCTCCTTCTCTCCTTCCTCCTTCCCTTTCTTCCGTACCTTTACCTCTTTCTCTCCTTCTCTCTTGTTTTTTTTTCTCCCGCTCTCTTCCTCCCTCCCCCGCTCTCTCTATCTCCCTCTTCTCTCATCTCCCTTCCCTCGCTCCTTTCTCCTATTTTTCCTTAAATGAAATTCTCTCCCCGCTGCAGCCAGTTGAGATTTTTTCACCTTATCAAGGTACCTCTTTCGACGATGTCTCGTCGTTTGCTGCAATCCCACCAAGTTGGGCTGATGAATATGTATGATCGTGTTCATGGGATGCAATAATTTTTTTTGGAAAAAATACTTGTCGTGCTTTTCGGTATTTTCTATGACAGCAAATTGTTTCGCGTGTATTGTTGTTTTGGTCGTTTCTATGGTAATGTGTTGTTGATGCCCCCTCAAGGAACAAGTCACCCCTACCCCCTCACTCCGATTCGCCACCAACGCATAATTGGCGAACTCCGACCATAAAACGGCCCCATGTTTTTACCCTCACCACAAATGGACACACGGTGTGGTTTTACCCCACCGCATTGAAAGATCGCCTCCCGCGTCTTGCTTTTTTTGCTCACAGTGTTCCGACGTTTTTGGTCGGAGTAGCACGAGTATGACGTGTTGAGTTCGTTCAAAACTCATGTGACACGCGCATGCTACACACTCAGGAGGACGTGTTTCCTCGATCGCTGTCGAGGGGGTGCCCCTCCCGACCACACTATGAAGCATCTATTTGGTGTTCCTTATACGCCCCCGCGTGAAAATGAGATGATGGTGGTGGCTATGGGGTATGCCGAGGTCGTCTGAGCGATGGTGAGGGGATGACTGGAAAATATTGAAAAAGAAGGTTGTGAATTGCGAAGATCCATGGTAAGAAGTGTTGTGACTTTGGGGACAGTTGGTGGGAACTTGCGTTGACAAATCTTTGTTGTCTTCATTTGTGGTCCTGTCTTCAACCCCCCGTCGGTAATCCCCCTCTCTTTTCTTCCCCCAATCCTGATCCCTGCACTTTTTTCATCAAGCCTCGTGTCCGGATTGTCCCGTCGCTTCCGGCTTCCGGGGGGGCCTCCCTTCTTCGGAGTGGTTCCTTATCCTCCATGCCCCTTCTTGAGTCCCGTTGTCTTGTAACCGCCATTGTTTGCATGCTCGCCCGAGTCTCCAACTTCCTTCTTTCCTATCATTCTCTTTTTTTCTCTTTTTTTTTTCCTCCTTCTTTCCCTTATCTCCTGTTTCTTTTTCTTATGTTTTTCTTTCTTCTTCTCGGAGTCCCCTTTTTTTTTTTTTCCCCCTTTTTTTGCGCATTCGCAGAGGCCTCCCAAGGAATCATTCCTAGGCGGATGGTGAAATGAGTTAACGCATCGCTTCCCGTGGCTAAAAGAATGAGCGACTTGAGTTGAGAAAATAGGAGTATGCCAGGGAATGTGGGGAACTAGGGGGAAGATCTGCCAGGGTCGAACAAATCCTCCCAAGGATCTGGGGCGTGGATGACTCGCACCTGAAAGGACGGGTACCTGAAACCTGGATGGGCGGTTCGCCTACCGCAGGAGGCAACCAAGTATTAAAATGCGATGATCCCGTGATCGAGGCGGAGGAGATGAGGAGATGGAACGGGCAAACGCCGCCATAACGGCCACTATCACAGATTCCCCGCTCACAACCAGCGGGGCGGGTGCTAATGCCTCTGAGCGGGACCAGTACACGACGTTCGCTCCCTTGGCATCCACGTATTGGGCGGAACACACATCCACGAGTTTTCGATATGCGATTTGGAAGATGGCGACCTTTAACCATATCGCACCTATCTCCATCAGAGCAGTTCTATTCCTGGGGAATGTCACAGATGCACAGATAAAGGAGTGTAGGACGCAAGTACTGAAAGGGAAGATGAAGTTCTCCAAGAGGGTCCCCCAGCTAGACCCTCAGGACCTTAAATTCCCACCCATGCGCACATTAGATCCAGATAAATGTGGGGAAACGAGCTCGGGGATGTGGCAGAAAGCTATTAGACAACAGGACATGCTTGACCTCAGGAACCTGAGGAAGATATGGAGCGTAGGTAGACCCTATCTCAAGTGCAAATGCAAGAGGAAGAAAAACAGGGACTGCAGAGACACCCCACTGTGGTTTGATCATACCCTCTGGTATCTACTTGTACACCCGGATGTACTGTTCCCAGATATGTCCTCGAACAAAATCAGTACATCGATGTTAATCCACTACCTCAGGACCACATGGAGGGACGAGGTGCTTGCCGCCATTAGCTTTCATTTTCTCGGTGATCTGATGATGGGATATGTCAGGGAGCTCGAGAAGGATACGACACTCGACACAGAGAGCTTGCTGAAGGAAGATCACTTATGGAACTTTCCGATCTCTGCGCTACTCGCACGAATTATGCTCCCCATGCGGATCCCCGAGAAACCGACAAGGTTCCCACTCAGCTCTTCGCGAGTAGCGGCGCGGAAGAGGGGTGGTGGCGCGCAGGTACCGGGCCAGATTACGCTCATCTTCTGCAGGGTGGCACCGGTGCCTGATGCTCCCCCGCACCCTCCTCCTTCTGAGCCGCCTCCTCCTCCTCCTCCCCCTCCCCCTCCACCTCCTCCCCCTCCCCCACCTCCTGCTTCATCTACCTCTACTCATCTGCAACCCGCAGTGGTGATCACGGGAGTGCAACAAGCAAGCGGCAGTACTCACCTCCATGGCTTGCAAACCACGAACCCATTTACAGGGGACCATCGATCCGCACCACTGTAGGCAACAGAAAACTGGACCTTTCCCTCCCCGCTCCCACCTTCTCAGCACCCGGTGATGGTGATTAGGGGACTGACTCCTCCACCTGTTATCCTCCTTTCACCAGAAAACTTGGCGCAATCGACACTTACCTAGACCGGAAGGGGAAAAAGAAGAGGTGCAAAAAATAGGGGTGGAGGAAGAACGGGCGCCGCCGCCAGCAGGCGACCTGCACGTGCATAACCCCCCTCTCGCAAAAATGGATGAAAGGGTCAATGCCCATTTCTTCCATTTTTTCCATTTTTTTTGAAGTTCCCTCTCTCTCCCCTTTTTGGTCTCACCCTTCCGTGTTTTTTCCTTCTCTCCCCGTCCTACCTCCCCTCCTTCGGTTCTTAGGAAATTCACCATCCCATCCGGCACAACCCGTGTCCTGTGATTGTGACCTTCGAAGCGCAGGACCCCAGTAGCCGCATCAATGCCCCAGAACAGATGACCACACTACCGACTGGCCGAAGATCTTGGAGGAGGCAGGAGTTGGATTGCGACGGTTTCTTGCACCTAAGGTACACTAGCAGAGTGATGGAACCGCTTTCCATCACGAGGTTGATAAACGAGGTCCTGGCCAGGATAATAGGAGATGAGAGAGCGACGTGGCTGGAGCGGACCATAATCGTCTATACCAATAACGATAGTATTGCTTCTAGGCTTTGCAGACCAGCGGAGGTATTCTGCGATTGTAACGTCGCGCAATGGATGGAGGCCTACGATCTGGAGCAGAGTCCATGCAGGTCTCGCAAGTACTCGGACATGCGCAGCAATGCATCGATCGAGCTGCTCCAAAGCAAAGGTTATACACATGTAATCACTTTGGACTCATCAATCACGGACAACCCACTACTCCAGGGCATCATCAACTCTGGACTGAACCATATCCCATGCATGACCCTGGAGGTGAATGAGGCGGAGAACGAGGTGGACATTGTCAGATTCCTGGACAGACTCATGGCGATGGTGATGGAACTACGCGAACTCACGGCGTCCACCCAGTCATTTCTATGGAGGATAATCTTGAAGAAGGCGAGAGCAAAAATGACGAAATACCGGGAGCAGCATGGACACGTAGCCGCGGAGCCATTCGAGCATCCAGCTATCAAGCTGACACTAAAGTTCCTCACAGACCGTTTTCTCATCTGTCCGACGGATAAAGCCCCAAGCACTCCAGCCTTCGTATGCAAGAACTTCATACAGAAACTCGCCTTTCAGAGGTTGTCTCGACCTGAGCTCACGATTATCACCGCCCCCCCTGCATCGGTCATCTCACGAATGTAGGGCGAGCTTTCAGCTATGCCTGTGCTTCCGACTGCACCAGCGACGCTCCCGTACCTGATGACGACGTTCAAAGCGCACAAGGGCACGTTCCGCTGGATCACAAACACGACCAAAACAGTTGTTTCCCCAGCTGCGGACCTCTGCACGTGTCTGCTTCGGTTTCTTCTCCCCCTGGTGAAAACATTCTGTCAGGAGAAAAGCTTCGAGTTGGAGGAACGATATCATTGAAGCGAAGGCGAACGTGTGGTGGTCAGTAGCCTCAGTGGGGGAGTTTTGTGCGAACCTGCCAGAGAAGGTCTATTCCATCTTTACGGCGGATATCACTAGATGCTTTGAAACGATTCCGACGGACAGCTCGGAAGATAGTCTACGGGCGGCGGTGGGATTCTACGTACAGAGTGCAATGCAGGTGCGGAGGGAGAGGACCTCAAGCCATACCATTCGAATCAAGGTTGGGGTGGACACAAGTTGTGGCCATCATGGGTGGATGGCGATCAGGCGGAGGGTATGGGTTCTATGTTATTTTGGGAGGAGGATGTCTGCTGGGTCACGGAATGGTGCATCGCCAACAGCGTGTTACGCATGGGGGACTATGTGTAAAGGCATGTACATCAACGACCTGGGCGCAATCAACAACACCATCATCAAGAGCTTCATGCGGAAGAAGGAAGACAGGAAGGTGAGTGGCCCGTGTGGGATCTATCCATACGGTACATAGAAATTAAGGAGAATACCGAAGGGCCAACTTCCTCAGCATGACCATTACGATCACCTTTCTAGCAACAGGGTCGTACATCACCTCTAGGCATGACAAACGCACGGGCCTAGGGTTTACTCCATGCAAGTTTATGAAGTATCAATCCAACAGGAGTGCCAAACAGTCGCTGCAAATTCTCACGGTGACAGCCCAAGTTGCACAGATACTATTATTGTGCTCCGAACCAGGTGATGCAGCCGAGGAGATAAAGAAGGTGGTGACCATGATGAAGGACTATGACTTTGCCGGGGATGCTTGCTGGAGGGTGGTCAAGAAGACTCTGTGGAATGCATACCGCTACCAGCCCGACAGGGTGTCCATACATGCAGTCAGGGAAGCGTTGGCCAACATGTATGGTATTATTGAATGACTGTTGTATCTGTATGCGTATCCGTGTCTGTGTATGTGTATGTGTGTGAGTGGTGCCGGGGGGACAACTGGGCCGACTCGGAGAGGGTCGGTTGTTCTCCGGACAACCATTCCCTCGGACCCTGTCATCCCCCGGAGGGAAAGGGGTGGGGCACACACACACACACCCACATACACACATACAGGTGAGGGAGGAGGAAAAGCAACAGGAGCTGGAGGTGCGGACTCATGGAGCTGAAGGATTCCGCGGTGGAGCGCATGCATTCCTCTCTCTCTCTGTCCCTTGTTTGTTTGTTTGTTTGTTTTAACTTTTTTTTTTCTCCTTCTTTTGCTTTCTTCCTTTTTCCTTTCCCCCGTCCTTTTTCCCTCTTGCTCCTTTTTTTTCCTTTTTTTTGTTTTCCTTTTTTTCCTTTTTACCATAGAAATAATGGGAGCAACACAAACCCGGCTCCTTGAATCCGAAACCCCCCCCCGGGCAATGTGAACCGACTAACTAAGGATTACGGTAGCAGCCCGCTCTCGGGTCGTGACAAAAAAAGTCGGGGGACTGGGGTAATACGCAGATGCATGGTATCACAAGTAGGTCGTCAATCATTCATGGTTTTCTTGTTTCGTTTACTTGTTTTTTTTCCTTTTTTTCTTTTCCTCGCCTCTGTCTTTTTTTTTCTTTCTCTTTTTTTTTTCTTTTTCCTTTCTCCTTTTCTTTTTTGTTTTTCCTTTTTCCTTTGTTTGCCCTTTTTTTCTTTCTTTCTTTTCCTCTGCGTTGCCACTTGTACGCACCCTCGTACGAGTACGGATTCGTATTGTTGTACTCGTACGCTACTCGTACGCTAGGGGCCCCGTATGAGTTTTGTTTTTTTTTCTTTTTAATCCGGTAGTATTTTTATTTTTTTCCTCAAATTCGAACAAGAATATGAAGATGATGCTCTGCCAAATGTTTCTTGTTTTGTGCTGTTGCATCACATATTTTTGTTTCGGATTTTTTTGATGAATTTTTTTTTTTTTTTTTTTTTTTTTTTTTGCTTTTTTKTACGAGGGCGTACAAGACGTACAGGTTGACGTACAGGTTCCCGGACAGATCCCGTACAAATATTACCTGTATGTTTCATACGGAAAGGCCCCGTACATGTACTCTATGCAACGTAGTTTTTCATGGTCGTAGGATAGATGCGTATAAATAGTTGAATAGGGGTGATAGCTTGCATCGGAAGGCTACGATTCTCGTGCGGGTACTGCGACTATATCAGAACAGAACGCAAGGGGTTCTATTCATCAGACCACCGTGCGGTTAATGGTTCTGACAACAAGCAAGGTTTCCAGTTTCCGCGACCACGAAGGGTTGAGTAGGATAGCGGGTGGCATGGACTTCTTCGTCGACTGGGACTTGGAAGAAAAGCAGCAGGAGGTGGAGGAAGTGGTAACGTTCCCGGCAAACGACACGCTCTTGGTTCTGCTTTCGTATCCTAGTGCCTGAGTATTCCGGGGCTAAGCGTCATGCATACTGCCTCTACCTGCCCTGCCGAACCTGGTCTACCCCGCATGTCCCCCTCTGTACCAGCGCGGAACGCAGCGTTCATGCTCTTCTTCTTCCTCGCCCTGCCTCCCAATCTCGCCATAACCTGCACACTTCTTATTGCATATCTCTCTGAAAGAATTTTTCTCTGTTTATCGCCGAGGCGCTTTGCTTTTTTAGTCAGCTGCACCATTTGCTTCGCAACCCTCGTCCTCGCCAGTTGTTGCTGCCTTCTCTTTGTGTAGGGCGTTGAAGGGTGGCTTGGTTATAAAGTAGGAGGCGAGCGTAGCAAGGAGTGGAGCGATGGAGCATAGACCAAGGGCGGAAGTTTCGACATGCGCCTTTTTAGTCTTCCTCTGTTTCCTCTCCTTCCTTTCCTTCCTTTCCTTCCTCTACTCCCTTCCCTGCTCCGCTCCACATGACCTCTCCCTCCCCCTTCCCCCCGCCCCGAGCCTCACCCCTCGACCTCGTAACCCTCCATCATCCCTGTCCCACTGCACGCCCCTTCGTAACCCGACCATCCCCCCGCCTTCCAGAGATCGTGGAAGATGTCCCCCCTTTGATGACGCCCCACGTGGCATGGGGCAGAAAAGCGCTTTAGGGAATTACCACGCCCTTCTCGTAATTCGGTGAGATGATTCGCGCGAATGCAGGAACGCGCTGGATCTGGAGGATAGAGCTGAAGTGGGATATAATCTTCCCCCCTTTCCCCCTCTCCCCAACCCTGCCCCTGCTTTCCCCCCCCCCCCTTTTTTTCCCCCATATAGAACCACATGAACGATTGGCAGTAGAGGAACGAGATGGGCAATGTATTTTTGTTCTTGTCATAGAAGAGGCTATTCGGCGTTATCTCTGATTGGATGCATGGACTATCCCTTCCTCCTTTCATATGGTGTCTGGATACACCCCTATCTCTCTTCACCTTTTGGTTCAATGGAAACTTCGCTTGCCTCTTTTTCCCTCCTCTCCTTCTCTCCCTCCCCCTTCCCTTTCTTCCGTACCCTTACCTCTTTCTCTCCTTCTCTCTCATTTTTTTTTCCCGCTCTCTTCCTCCCTCTCCCGCTCTCTCTGTCTCCCTCTTCTCCCATCTCCCTTCCCTCGCTCCTTTCTCTTGTCTTCCCTTCAATGGAATTATCTCCCCGCTGCAGCCTGTTGAGATTTTTTCACCTTATCAGGGTACCTCTTCCGACGATGTCTCGTCGTTTGCTGGAATCTCGCCAAGTTGGGCTGATGAATATGTATGATCGTGTTCATGGCATGCAATAGATTTTTTTGGAGAAAATACTTGTCGTGCTTTTCGGTATTTTCTATGACGACAAATTATTTCACGTGTACTGCTGTTTTGGTAGTTTCTATGGTAATGTGTTGTTGATGCCCCCTCAAGGAACAAGGCACCCCTACCCCCCCTCAATTCGATTCGCCACCAACGCATAATTGGCCAACTTTGACCATAAAACGCCCCCATGTTTTTACCCTCGCCACAAATGGACACATGAGTGGTTTTACCTCGCCTCATTGAAAGAACGCCTCCCACGTCTTGCTTTTTTTGCTCACAGTGTTCCGACGTTTTTGGTCGGAGTAGAATGAGTATGACGTGTCGTGCTCGTGCGAAACTCATGTGACGCACACATGCTACACACACACACATACTCTCTCTCTCTCTCTCTCTCTCTCTCTCTCTCTCTCTCTCTCTCTCTCTCTCTCTCTCTAATTCTCTCTCTGTCTCTCTCTCTCTCTAATTCTCTCTCTGTCTCTCTCTCTCCTGCACGTGCGCTGAGAGACAGACAGAGAGAGAGGGAGCACGCACTCTAACATAGTTGCGCGCCTATGTGCGAGTTTTTTTTTTTTTTTTTTGAATCAATCAATCAATCAATCAATCAATCAATCAATCAATCAATCAATCAATCAATCAATCAATCAATCAATCAATCAATCAATCAATCCATCAAGCATTCAATCAATCAACAATAGATCAATCAATCAATCCATCAATCCATCAATCAATCAATCAATCAATCCATCAATCCATTAACCAAGCATTCAATCAATCAACAATCAATCAATCAATCAATCAATCAATCAATCAATCAATCAATCAATCAATCAATCAATCAATCCATTAATCCATCAATTAATCAATTAACTTTTATTTATCTATTTTACTTTATTTTCCAATTTTGATTACTTTGATTTAGAAAAAAAATCACAAAAAAAATTAAAAATATGGTGGTGTAGAGCACGAAAAACTCTACATCCCCAGATATATACATATATATATTTTGTTTTTTGGGGGGGGAGTTTCGTCAATCTGTACAGGACCGTTCATACGGTCGTACGAGAGTCCGTACGGCCGTTCATACAGCCGTATGACCAGAGCCCCATTCGACGTGCAAGGTGCAACACAGAGATGCACCACTACGCTAAGGGGCAACGCCAGGCTGGT